ATACATCTTGACAAGCTTTTTGGAGAGTGAACCCAGGATAAACCCATACCAGTAAAACAAAAGCCACTAAAAAAACCCCTCCCAAATATATACCTAACATATAAGTAACATAATATCTACAACATACTATGTAATAAATATAAACATATTAATTTAACATAAAACATACAAAATAGGCTACTGGAAATTATGCATTATCCTGAGTTATTTACTTATATCATAAATTTTATGTTTTTAATGTTTTTCACATTTTTTGAGGTATAATTGATACACAATGTTAGTTTCAGTTGTACAACACGGTGGCTTTAACAACTCTGTATGTTATGCTATGCTCACCATGGTGTGACTACCATTGGTCACCATACAATGCTATCAAAATACCATGTTTCCTATGTTATGCTTTTCATCCTTGGGACTTACTCCTTCCATAACTGTAAGCCTGTGTCTCCCACTCCCCTTCACACATTTTGACCATTCCTCCATATCCCTACCCTCTGACAGTCACCAGTTTTTCCTCCATACTTAGGAGTTATTTGGATTTGTTTTTTAGATTTCATGTACAAGTGAAATCATATGGTTTTTGTCTTTCTCTGTCTGGCTTATTTCACTTAGATTATCCTCTAGGTCCATCCATGTTCTCATAAATAGGACATTTCATTTTTTTCACAGCCAAATAACATTCTGTTGTGTGTGTGTATAATATATATATATATATATATATATATACATATATAATATATACACATACGTATATACACATACTCCCCAAATCTTTATTCATTCATCTATTGATAGACATCTAGGCTGTTTCTAATATTTGGACTATTGTAAATAATAGAAGTGCATGTATCCTTTTGAATTTTGTTTTTGCTTTCATTAGATAGCCAGTAGCAGGATTTCTGGATCATATATTTCTATTTTTTAATTTTTTGAGGAAGGTCCATACTGTTTTCCACAGTGACTGTACCAATTTACATTCCCACCAACAAGGGTTCCTTTTTTCCCCCCACATCCTCACCAATACCTGTTTTTCCTTGTTTTTTGATACTAGCCATTTTGACAGGTATAAGGTGATTTAGAATTGCACTTCTCTAATGATTAATGATGTGTAGTATCTTTTTATCTGTCTGTTGGGAGAAATTTCTATTCAGGTCTGCTGCCTTCTTTTAATTGGAGTATTTGGTTTTGTGGTGTGGAATTGTGGAAGTTCTTCATATATTTTGGATATTAACCCCTTCTCTGATAGATCATTTGCAAACCTCCTCTCCCATTCAGTAGGTTGCCTTACATTATTTTGGTTTATTTTGCGGTGCAAAACCTATTTTGGTGTCATCTCAATAATTTATTTTTGCTTTTGTTTCCCTCACTTGAGATGACACAGGGTTATGTCAAAGAGATCACTGCCTATGTGTTCTTTTAAGACTTTTATGGTTTCAGGTCTCACATTAGGTATCTATTCCATTTTGGATTTTTTTTGTATGCATGGTTAAGAATGTGGCCCAGTTTTTCCAGCACCATTTATTGAAGAGATGGTCTTTTTCATAGTGTATATTCTTGCCTTCTTTGTCATATGTTAGTTGACCACATAAGCATGGGTTTCTGGGCTCTCTATGCTGTTCCACTGATCTATATGTATATTTGCGCCAGGACCATACTGTTTTGAAAACTATAGCTTTGTAATGTAGTTTGAAACTGAGATTGTGATACCTCCATCTTTGTTCTTTCCTTTTTCAAAAAAAAATTTTAATGTTTATTTCTGAGACAGAGAGAGGCAGAGCATGAATAGGGGAGGGGCAGAGAGAGAGGGAGACATAGAATCTGAAGCAGGTTCCAGGCTTTGAGCTGTCAGCACAGAGCCCAACACAGGGCTTGAACCCACAAACTGTGAGATCATGACCTGAGCTGAAATCGGGTGCTTAACCAACCGAGCCACCCAGGTGCCCAAACTTTGTTCTTCTTAAGATTGCTTTGGCTATTCAAGATCTTTTGTAATTCCAGATACATTTTAGAATTACTTGTCCTAGTTCTGCGAGAAATGTTGGTATTTTGACAGGGATTGTACTGAATCTGTAGGTTGTTTTGGGTAGTGTGGACATTTTGCAAATGCTAATTCTTCCAATGGGTATGTATATATTTTCATTTGTTTGTGTCATCTTCAATTTTTTTTCATCAAGAGGTTATAGTTTTCAGAGTACAAGTCTTTCACTTCCTTGCTTAAGTTTACTCCTAGGTATCTTATTCTTTGTGATTTAACCATAAACGAGATGTTTTCCTAATTTCTTTCTGCTGCTTCATTATTAGTGGTGTGTGTGTGTGTGTGTGTGTGTGTGTGTGTGTACATGCACGTAACAGATTTCTGTGTATTAACTTTATATTCTGTGACTTTACTGAATTTACTCATAGGTTCTAATAGGTTTTTTTTTCTGGAACCTTCAGGATTTTCTGGATATAGTATCATGTCATCTACCAGTAGCGACAATTCTACTTTTTCTTCACAAATTTGAGTGACTTTTACTTCTTAGTCTTCTCTGATGGCTGTGTAAGGCTTACATTACTATGTTGAATAAAAGAGTGGGGCTAATCTTATTCCTGATCTTAGAGAAAAAATGTTCCATTTTTTTACCACTGGGTATGATGTTGCTTCACAGTATACTCTAGATCTACCCATGTTATTGTAAATGGCAAGATTTCATTTTTTATGGATAAATAATCCATTGTACATATATACCACATCTTTATTCACCTACTGATGGACATGTAAGGTTGCTTCGATAAAGTGGCTATCATAAATAATGCTGCAATAAATGCAGGGGTGCATGAATACCTTTAAATTAACGATTTTTTGGGTAAATACCCAGCAATCCAATTGCTGGACCATGGGTAGCTTTATTTTTAATTTTTGGATGAACCTCTTTACTGTCTTCCACAGTAGTTGCACCAGTTTGCATTCCTACCAACAGTGCATGAGGGTTCCTATTTCTCCACATCCTCACCAATGTGTGTTATTTCTTGTTTTATTTCAGTCATGCTGACAGGTAGGAGGTCATATCTCATGGTGCTTTGGTTTGCATTTCTCTGATGAGTGATGTTGAGCATCTATTCATGTGTCTCTTGGCCAAATGGAGGTTTCATCTGGAAGAATGTGCATATCTTCTGCATATTTTTAAACTGGATTATTTGGTTTCAGGTGTTGAGCTATATAAATTCTTCATATATTTTGGATACTAACCCTTTATCAGATAGGTCATTTGCAAATATCTTCAACCATTCAGTGGGTTGTCTTTCAGTTTTATTGGTTGTTACTTTCACTGTGCAGAAGCTCTTAATTTTGATGTAGTCCCAATAGTTTACTTCTGCTTGTTTTCATTGCTTCAGGAGACAGGTCTACAAAGATATTGTTATGGCGAATGTCAGAGAAATTACTGCCTGTGCTTTATTCTAGGATTTTTATCGTTTCAGATCTCAAATTCAGGTCCTTACTCCATTTTTTGTTTGTTTTTGTGTATGGTATAAGAAAGTGGTCCACGTTCATTCTTTTGCATGCAGCTATCAAAAAGACTGTCTTTTTCTCCTTGCATGTTCTTGCTTGTTGTCAAAGGCTAATTGACCATATAATTGTGCATTACCCTGACTCCAGAACCAGATAAAGACCCACAAAAAATGAAAACTACAGGCTACAGGCTCATATCCCTGATGAGCACAGATGCAAAAAATTCCTCAATAATATTTGCAAACCAATCAATGTGATACATCGCATCAATAAGAGAAAGGATAAGAACCATAGGATCATTTCAATAGAAGCAGAAAAAGCATTTGACAAAGTACAACATCCATTCATGATAAAAACCCTCAATAAAACAGGTTTATACAGAACATATTAAAGGCCTTGTATGAAAAACCCACAGCTATCATCATCCTCAATGGGGAAAAACAGAGCTTTTCCCTTTAAGTTCAGGAACAAGGCAAGGACATCCACTCTCACCACTGTTATTTAAATCAGACAAGAGAAAGGAATAAAAGGCATCCAAATTGGTAAGAAAGAAGTTAAACTTTTACTGTTTGCAGATGACATGATACTATATGTAGAAAACCTTAAGGGCTCCACCAAAAAAACTATTAGGTAAATGTATTCAGTAAAGTTACAGGATACAAAATCGATGTACAGAAATCTGTTGCATTACTATACACCAATAATGAAGCAGCAGAAAGAGAAATTAAGAACACAATCTCATTTACAATTGCACCCACAATAATAAAGTACCTAGGAATGAGCTTAACCAAAGAGGTGAAAGATCCATACTCTAAAAACTAGAAAATATTGATGAAAGAAATTGAAGAGACCAAAGAAATAGATATTCCATGCTCATGGATTAGAAGAACAAATATTGGATTTTTAAAAATTTTTGATCTTTATTTTTGAGACAGAGACAGAGAAAGAACAGGGGAGGGGCATAGAGAAAGAGAGGGAGAGGGAGAGGGAGAGGGAGACACAGAATCTGAAGCAGGCTCCAGCCTTTGACCTAGAAGCAGAGCTTGATGCAGGGCTCAAACTCATGAACCCCAAGATCATGACCAGAGCCAAAGTCAGATGCTTAACCAACTGAGCCACCCAAGCACCCTAAGTATTGTTAAAATTTCCATACTACCCAAAGAACATATATAGAATATATTCCACAATACCACAATTCACTACATATCCAAGTATTTTCCTCAGGATGGACTCAATTTTTTAAAAATATTGCTTAAAGAAACAAATTGGTCAAAAACACTGACATTTGTATGACCCTGTTTATACTTTTCAAAATTAACACTTCTAGAATGATACCCTAAGCTACACTTTCTGCTGAGGGAGTGCCACAAAAGCAGTTGGTTCGAAAAGATGTAGCTACATAGCTACTTCCATGCAGTTTGACCAACATCAATCACCCATACTATACCTAGTGCACTACCCTCATTCTTCAACTAAGATACTTCTAGGAAGAATACTTTGAAAAAAATACCTCAGCACTTGCAGATCACAGAATGACTTCAGATCATCAGACTGTTTTCCCCAAAATTCCTAAAATTGAACAAATGTTTTAAGTATTTAGAAGTTATTCTACTCTGGAACAGATTCTCATAAGTCACAGAGGATATTCGAGGAAAGAACTTACCAGGGCATCCTTCTCAAGGTGTTTCAGAGCCTGAATATCCTTCTCAAGATTGCTCAGCTCTTGAAGGACCAAATTTTGAAACTGCTCTAGTTTATTCAGTCTGATAAATGTAAAAAGCAACAAATTTCACCAGGACTGCTTGAATACAACAAAAGACAATCCTCTTAATGCAAGGATACATCTTACTCTTCTCCAGACATTTAACCTTTGTTTCCAAAACCTCACTACAGAAGCACTTCTGTTGTAATGGCTCTGGATTAACTCTAATCACTACAGAATCCCATCTCCACTCACCTTTCCTAACCTTCACATCACTCTGAAGTCTTATGGCCTTTGTTTTTCTTGCTCCATGGTCATCAAGATGTGTGTGTGTGTGTGTGTGTGTGTGTGTGTGTGTGTGTGTGTGCGCGCGCGCACGCGCCCCCACATGAGTGCAGAGCACTTTTTATTGTGGCTATATATATTACATATAACAAACTTAACCCTGTTAACCATTTTTAATTTAGTGGCAGTAAGTACATTTACAATGTGCAACTATCAACCACCATCCACTTCTAGAACTTTCCCCTCATCCCAACAGAAACTCCATTCTTATTAAACAAGAACTCGTTTTCCACTCCCTCAGCTTCTGGCCATCTCTGCTCTGCTTTCCTTCTCTATGAATTTTCCTCTTCTAGGTACCTCACACAAGTGAAATTGTGCAATACTGGTCCTTTTTTATTGGGCTTATTTCACTGAACATAATGTCCTTGTGTTTCATCCATATTATAGCATGTGTCAGAATTTCATCCCTTCCTAAGGCTGAATAAGATTCCTCTGCATGCGTTTAACACACAGCATTTATCCAGCATTTTTATACAGATGTCCATGCTTGCTCTGTCTTCACAATTGGATCATAAATTTTTTGAAAATAGTGTTTTGGGATCATACAATGGTAGACCATGAAGAGGCTTATAGAAGGCCTTAGCCCATCATCTTATGAATGAAGAACTAGAAACCTAGAAAGGTTAGGTGATGTACCAAACCTCACATCTGCTCAAGCTTCAGCCCCTCATGACCCCAGCATGGTGGTCAGGACACAAAAGCTTGTGAGCAATCACACTTTCATGAACTGTTTTTGAAACCCAACACTTACCTGCAGTGATGTATCTGGTTTAAAAGTTGGAGTAAGCAATCCGGTACTTGGTTTGCATTTTTTGAATAAAGTGGACTCCCTTTGTACCTAAGCTGAATCATAACAACAATCGCAGAATGACCACATTTGAGTTAGCCATAACTACATAAATTCAGTTCAGGCTTTGCATGGAAAGGATGCTGCCAGCACATAATATCCATAACAAACATCACTGCTAACAACTGTGATGAGACACCATGGTACATGCTTTCTATGTATTACCTCAGGTTCAGAACCAATAAAGAATAAGCTAAAACAGGAAAGCCTACATTCATGCTGTCAAAACACATACTGAATATTAAGAACAAATTTCCATCATAAATTAGCTTACATTGGTATTGCAGAAAGTAGAAGACTGGAGATTTTCCAACTTAGTTACATGAATGTATGTCAGGGTAAGGGATTTTTCTCAAATGTGCCACTAAATAACTATGTAGGGATTTATAAACAACAGGACATAAAAGGAGGGAACTGAAATTCTTCCCAAGTTCGTCTTGTAGACAAGATTATGGGATGGCCTACTTGGGCATTGGTCAAAGATCTGCCACCACTCAGCTGACCATCTACACAAAGCCCACCTCCTTCTTTGTCCCAGATGCCTCTCTCATCCAGATGGTCCCCCACTCCCCTCTTCTCCCCATCTATCATCATGACCGAATCATTGCTTCCCTGGTAGTTCAGTTGTCTGAGAACACTATCAATGAAACCAAACCATGAGTCTGATTTCCACAGAGGTGCATCCGGTCTGCACCACTGTAGCAGATCCACATGCAAAAGCGGTCTGATAAATACAAACCACAATTCACAAAGGCACTAAAATCAGTGACCACTGCCAAGGCAAATCAACCTCCCCAAAGGATTCCAGAGAACCCTCACACATGAAGGATGTCAACGGTACTGATGAATAATGTGAACTTGTTAAACTCATAACAACTCGCTCTTCATTTTTAGTGGAAAATTACCTCCATTTTTCTTTTCAGGTTTCTAGTGAAGGTTTCGAGGGTTGTGACAATAGCAGAACTATTCCAGTTCTCTGGCACAACTGCTAAGGATGGAGTAGAAACGTCTTCTGAACAATGAGAAGAGAACATTAGGTAAAACTAACACAGTGCTCAAGGTAGATGCGCTCAGTCCATCAGCTGCTCAGAGCATGGACTGTCAGCTAGAAGCACAGATACGATCCACGATGCCGCACTGGTGCCTGGCTGTGACTGCAGCCTGGCCGACAAGGCCAGCTTAATCCGAGAGTCCTCACGGTGAGCACCTCATGCTGCTTCCCATCAGACCTCAAAAGTGCTCCTTTCATGCAACTCTCCCAGAGCTTTAATCAGACCAACTGATACTATGCCTAAGAAGCAGGCAGAGAGAGGTGCTGTAAGGGGTTTTAAAGAGGACCTGATGGGTAGGACATTTCTATGGGGGCGACACCGGCATAATGGCTTCTGGCTGCCCCAAGTTTGAGGAGGACTCACAAGGGCTCTGGCACTATTAAGGGAGTTTCAGGTTATGTCTCATTTAATCTTCAAATAGGCTCCATTGTTCTCCACATTGAGCAGAGGAATCCAGTAATGTGCGTGAGCTCATGTCAACAGCACCAGGACTGGAACCCAAAACAAAAGGCTCTAAGAGAACAAATTTGGAAGGCCAGAGGTCCTTAACCACCAAACTCTAGTCTCTCTGGGCTTCCAAATTTGCTCTCTCAGAGTATGTTTTTTTTTTTTTTTTCTTAAAATATAGTGGCATCACTTATGCAGAAGGCCATCCTTCAGTGGTGTAGAGTAGATATTTCTAACCCACTCATAAAACCTGAGTTAATAGCTATCAACTAAAGCAAGACTTATAATTTTGAGAAGTTTGGGCCCTGAAAATTGCCATAAAGAGTGAAGAGGCAGACATCAACATGCTAGAAGGAGGCGGTACTTGCTTTGATCTGTAATTTGTGCAACAATTCACTGGTCTTTGAGAGGACAAAATGATTTGTGTTTAGGGTTCTGCAGCTACTTTGATCTTCAAACTGTAACCCCCTGGTAGCACATGCCGTAGCATTCAGTGCTCACAGATCTGTCACATTGCCGCTTGAATGGCAGGCCAGGTGCGTAATGTTACCTGCTAAGTCTGTTTCTTCTGTCACCGACGACCGGGATTCTGGAGCATCGCCTTCTTCCAGTTTTGATTGTTTGGACTTAGTGAAACTGCCATCTGATGGGTCTAAAAGCAAGTACAGCACATTAACAACCGCACATACGTTCCTTCTGTCCCAAAAATTATCTCGTCTTTTTACAGTTAATACCTAACCTTGATGTGCAGCTAGTGAAACTCACTCCCTGTTACTAATTACTTATCGGTTGGCACACTAAGCACAGCACAAGCCTCAAAGCATGAAGTCTACTGATGCCAGAAAGAGGACACATGGGAACAGGCACCCCTTTGATGAGCTCTGTCACATTTAGGAATGGTCTGCTTAGCAAGGTACAGACTGATCCAAACGAAAAAGCAGTAATGGTTAGCATCAAAAACTCTGCCAGGGCTCAGGCTAAATGGGGAGGTAGCAAGGTATCTGAGCAGATGGACCTTCAGAAGCTCATCAGATCAGCCCCACAAAGCACACCACCTGCTGGCGACACTGGTGCTTAACTGCCACACTGAGTGTTGCCTCGTAATGGAGGCCATCTTGGCTTCTCAGTAGCTAACATGACTTTGAGACCTTAATATCGATCCTCTTTTCAATTTGGCAATGACTAAATTTTGTCTATTCTGATGTCTGCTGCTATCCAAAACATGTCCCTGTTTCACCTGAGCCCTCCCAATCTTATCACCACCATTGTCAACAGAGCCCTAGATTAGGCTCACCTCCTATGTCTCCTTACCATCCACTTCTCTCCCATCATCAAGGTCCTGCATACAGAATGAATCCATCCCTCGTTCTGCATTTCCACACCATGACCCTGGTCCAGGGCCTTCCTCTCTGGAGGACCTCATCCGTCTCATGCCTTCACCTATGTTACTTCCAAAATCTCTCTCTTCCCTGAGCTCCATGAGGCAGCTAACTTGTGTTTCCAACTGCTTAGTCAACAACTGCATCTCAAAACCCACTCTATTCTATTCTTCCCACTCCAACCATTCTTTCTTCCTCACCATACACTTAGTCCCTACATACGCACTTAGCTGTGAAGTCATCTGACTTTGCCCCTTCTCCTCACTATTGTTTTTTCTTCCCTCTGAAGTGGAAAAATCCAAATTTGTTACTCAATAAATAAATACTATGTGTAATAAGCTATACAATATGATGTTATAGTGGAGAAGCAAAGAGATAAGTCTCTTTCTGTACTCTGCTTCTCTACATAGCCTCCGGGGCGGGGGGGAGGGGTTGGCTCACACACCCCATGCATGTTCTCAAGATCTTTGCTCTTGCTGCTTTTCTGACTTGAATCCTTTCCCCCATAGATCTGCACTAAGGTTTCCTCTGGCCAACCAACATAAAATTTCAGTACAACCCCCCAGCTTTTAAATCTCTTTCCATGCTTGATTCCCCCCCAGCCTCTATCACAACATAACATAGTACATGTTTTATTTTTCACGTATGTTATCTGCCCTCTCCCCCCACCCAACACACACACACACACACACACACACACACACACACACACACACACACACACACTGGAAGGTAAGCTCCAGTGAAGGCAGGAATTTTGTCTGTTTTGTTCATCAGAATAACACTTAGCAAAGTGCCTGGTCTATAGTAGATACTCAGTAAATGTTCACTGAATGAATAAATAAATGAATGCTAAAAATATTCAAGTTCCTTAGGAGTTCCTAAGATGGCAACAGAGGAAGACCCTGAACTCACCTCCTTCCTAGACTCACACATTTATAGAGAAATTCCTCCTAAAGAAGTGTGGGCTGATTAAACAGCTTTTGCATAGCAGGAGATAGAGAGACACAAGGAGAACAGCAAGAGAGAGGGAGACACAGTAATGAAGGGACTCCCCACTGCAGTGGGGAGGGATAGTACTAAGGGAAGGGGAGCAGATTTGTCTGCCTTGGGGCATAGGATAAAATCTGTGGTTTAAAAGGGCAACTAGAATATAAAAGGTCTAGCCCTAGGAGCCTGCCCAACAGTGAGGGAGCTGCTGGAACTCTGGATCAGAGGGGCTGGTGAGTACCACGGTTTACCCTCCCCTTCTACCTTGACCGCACAGATGGGAGCAGGGCTGGGCTACCATAGCTGGCCTACCTCCACACCAGCCCCAGCCATCCCATCAAGGTGACCCCAGTGCGGCACACACCAGACACACCTGGTCAGCAGTCACTATGGCTCTAGCTGTCTCACCAACACACAAAACACCCTGGAACCTTCCAGATCTGAACCACTTCACCTCCATACAACTTGCCAGGACACCTCCCTCAACTTCTCCCCCTACACAGAGTTCCCTGAAACCCTGGGCCCTTGCCTACTTTGGGTCTGGGTGCCCCAACAGAGTACCTTCTGCATGGAGCACCCAGGTCCCCCAGCCTACACCCACCTCAGGTTCAACCATCCTGCCAGGGTGCCCTCTACTTACAACACCTGAGGATGTGGAGAAAAAGGGGCCCTCTTGCACGGTTGGTGGGAATGCAAATTGGTGCAGCCACTGTGGACTACCGTATGGGAGTTCTTCAAAAAGTTAAAAATAGAACTACCCAATGATCCAGTAATAGCACTATTGGGTATTTACCACCAAAATACAAAAACACTAATTCAAAAAGATACATGAACCTTATACACACACACACACACACACATATACACCTTATATACACACACACGTATATACACATATATACACACACATGTAGTGTATATACATATATACACACATATACACAAAAAAGATCAGCCATTATAAAGAATATCTTGCCTTTTCCAACAACATGGATGGAGTTAGAGAATCCAATGCTAATAAATCAGAGAAAGACAAATTTCATATGATTTCACTCATATGTGGAATTTAAGAAACAAATGAGTAAAGAAAAAAAGAGACAAACTAAGAAACAGACTCTTAACTATAGAGAACAAACTGGGGCACCTGGGTAGCTCTGTATGTTAAGCACCTGACTCTTGATTTCAGCTCAGGTCATGATCTCACTATCATGAGATCAGGCTCTGTGTTGGGCTCCGAGCTGACCATGGAGCCTCCCTGAGATTCTCTCCTCTTCCCCCCTCTACTCCTCACTTGCTTGCACTCTCTCCCTCTCTCTCAAAATAAACATTTGGAAAAGGAAAGAATATCAATCCTTCTCTCAAGCTTTACCCCAAAACAGAAGAGAGCACATTTCCAAATTTATGAGGTCAGTGCTACTATAATACCAAAACCAGACAAACAGACCACAAGAAAATAGAATTATAGGCCCATATACTTGATGAACATAGATGCAAAACTCAACATTACTAAACTGCATTTGCCAACTCATTAAAATGATCATCACAATCAAGCAGAATTTATTCCAGGGATGCAACAGTAGTTCAATATTTGCAAACCAACATGATATATGACATTCACAAGAGGAAGGATCAAAATCAGGTGGTCATCTCAACAGATGCAGAAAAAGTATTTGGCAAAACATCCATTCATGTTAAAGTCTCAATAAAGTGAGTTTGATAGAAGACACCTCACATCACAAAGGCCATTCATGAAAAACCCACAGTTAAACATCACACTTAATGCTAAAAAAATGAATGCTTTTCCTCAAGATCAGGAATAAGACATGGATGTCTACTCCCATCACTTTTATTCAACACAGCACTGGAAGCTCTAGCAGTAGCAATTGACAAGGAAAAGAAACAATTATAAAAAAAGAAAAATTATATCAATCTCATTTAAAATTACACCGTAAAGAACATACCTAGTAAAACAAATGTAACCAAGGAGGTGAAAGACCTGTACACTGAGAACTGTAAGACATTAATGAAAGAAATTAAAGACACAAATGCACAGATATGCCATGTTCATGGACTGGAAGAATATTTGTTAAGATGTCCATACTACCCAAAGCAATCTACAGATTGAGTGTAATCCCTTTCGACATGCCTACGGCATTTTTCACACATCTCAGAGCAAGTAATCCTAAAGTGGATATGGAACCACACAAGACTGAGTAGTCAAAGCAAACATGACAAATAAGGGAAAAAAACCTGGATGTATCACAACCTGAGATTTCAAGATAAACTATGTAACCATAGGAATCAGAACAGTGTGATACCAGCACAAAAATAGGCATATAGATCAATGGACCAGGCTAGAGAGAGCCCAGAAATCAACTCATACATATATGGTCAATTAATTGAAAACAAAAGAGGAAAGAATATACAATGGTGAAGACATGGTCTTTTTAATAAGTGGTGTTAGGAAAACTGGACAACTCCATGCAAAAGGATGAAACTAGACTACTTTTGTACAACACACACACACACACACACACAAATACTAAATGGATTAAAGATCTAATTGTAAGACCTGAAACCATATTAATTCCTGAATGAAAATACAGGCAACAATCTCTTAGAGATGGGCCTTTGCAATTTATTTATGGATAGGTCTCCTTAGGCAAAAGAAACTAAGGATAAAATAAATGAGAATACACTAAAATAGAAAGTTTTTGCACAGCAAAGGAAACCATCAATAAAACAAATGGGGAATGTAGTGAATGGGAGAAGACATTTGCAAAGGACAGATCTGATAAGGATTTATTACCCAAAAAATGGGAAAAAGGGGGAAAGAGAGAGAGAAGCCAAGAAACAGACTCTTGAACTATTGAGACTAATAGTTACCAGAAGGGAGAGGAGTTGGGGGAGGCACAGAGAATGAGTGAAATGGGTGATGGAGATTAAAGGAAGGCACTTGTGATGAGTACTGGGTGATGTATGGAAATGTTGACACTATATCATACACCTGAAACTAACATAACACTGTACGTTAATACTGAAATTAAAATAAAAGAAAATGAAAAAAATGACCAAGAGAATGAACTAATAAAAGAATGAACTAATAAACTGGTAGACCTCACAAGAATTTTGTAAGTTTGACTGACACAGAATAACAAATAGTATGTTTTCACTTTAGCATAATCCTTATAAAAACCAGTATTAACAAAACTATGAATATCTAGGAATTAATCTAGAAGAAAGATTTAGAGCTCTATAATTGAATAGAAAATGATACAAATCAATAAATACCTTTTGTATTGGGTAGACAATTAAGTATCTTTTATTTTTCTAAAGTAATCTGTATACTCAACATGGGGCTCAAACTCACAACCCTGAGACCAAGAGGCACATGCTCTTCTGAGTCAAGCAGTTGCCCCAAGATGATTAAGTATTTTAAAGATGTCAATTCTCTTCAAGTTAATATAGTATTTAATATAATCCCTATCAAAATTTTAGTAAACTTAAGTAACCTTATTTACTCTAAAGTTATTTAATGATCCAAGTCACTTTTGGATATATATCCATAGGAAATGAAATCACTATCTTTAGGAGCTTTTTGCACACCCTCAGGGTCACTGTAGCATTATTAATAGCCAAGATATGGAAATAATGAAAGTGTCCATTGACAGATGAATGGACAAGGAAGATGTGGTATATATACACCTTGGGATATCATTCAGCAACTAGAAGATGGAAATTCTAACATTTGTGATCACATGGATGGACCTGAAAGCACTATGCTAAGTAAGACAAACAGAGAAAGACAAGTACTGAATGATCTCTATTACTATATGATAATATATGTGTAATCTAAAAACCGAGTTTTGGGAATGTAATGTATAGTTATGATGATTATAGTTAACAATACTGTATTGTATATTAGAAAGTAGCTAAAAGACTAGATCTTAAGAATTCTTACACACAAAAAGATTGTAACTATGTGAAGTGACCTATGTATTGACCTTATTGGGGCAATCAATATTATCCCAAATATATTATTTGTAATATACACATATATATTGTACACCTTATTCAATATTATGTCAATTAAATCTCAAAAAAGCTGGAAAATAATATTTATATAAGCATAAAAGTTCCTTGAACAAGTACATCAACATTTATATAAGCATAAAAGTTCCTTGAACAAGTACGTCAACCTTGAAGAGTAAAGAGAATCAACTTTCCCTATTAGAGATCAAGGCATGTGATGAAATTAGGGCAATAAAAAAGAGATAGCATTCGTGTATTAATCCAGACAAATAGACCTACAGAACTCTAAAGAGCACCCAGAGATTGACCTACGTTTATATAACACCTGGATCATTACTAAAGCCATATGAAAAGAACTCTACCTGGATAAAAGATTTCAGTGTGTAAGATAGAAGTCTAAAATTAGAAGAAAATCAATAGACTATTTTTGGTTCCTTAATAGACTATTAAGGAAACAGATTAGCCTTATGAAAGGGGTGGGGAAGCAAACAAACCCAAATAATTGGGATACATTAAAATTGAGCAATCCTGCCCTGTAAAGAAACTTTATATAATTTTAGTAGGCAGACAATAAATTGTAGTATTCCAATTGTCTTCCAAACAGATACAAAAAGATAAAGCAAAAGAGACTGACATCTAGAATATTCAAGCAACTACCTTAAAAGACAGAAACCTCAATGAAAAAGAGTACAAGAGATATGAAAAGGAATTTACAGAAGAGGAAGCCCAAAAGACATACAAGCATATAAAGATATGTCTAGCTTAATTATTAGAGAAATGGAAATGTTAAACAGTGAAACATTAGCCCTATTAGACTGACAAAACTTGGAAAGCTGCATAATACCAACTATAGTGGGGGTACAGAAATTTAGAAACACTTTTCAATTCTTGTGGGAATTTATAATCATACCATTCAGGAGAGCAATTAATCTCACTGGGGTGCATAAGATGCATATAATGGTGTCCATTACTTTTGGTGATGACATGGAATTGAAAGTCATTAGTATCCATTACTGTGAGAGAGGCTAGGCAAAGTGTAGTGGATACATAACAGAGTACTAAAGTAATGAATATAGGTCTTAAAATCTGCTGAATAAAATAAGAAATGAGATGTAACGATACTATTTCCATAAAATTACATGCATTTACTTTAATATGCTACAAGAACACATATAAACAAAATTTGAGTATTAAACATTTTACAAAGTGAGAGAAATGGGGAGATATTGGTCAAGGTACAAAGTTCCAATTTTAAGATTAAGAAATTCTGGGGGTCTAATGTACAGCACGTTGATTTTAGTTAGCAATATACAGCGTGGTGATCTCTGTTCAGTTGGATTTTAGTGTTATATACTTGAAAGTTGCCGTCATGATCTCTTCAAGGGATGGAGGGAGGTAACAAAGTATGGTCCATTGAGGGGAAGGATTCTAGGTCAGCGACAATATTCTAGTTCTCTCTCTGGGTTGTAGTTACATGCGTAGTCACTTTAGAACCATTCTTTAAACTGTACACATATTTTACATTCTCTTCTGAAGGTACCATATTTATCACATGTTGAGGTGGGAAAAAAAAAAATAAAAGCAGTGGAATCCAACACAAAATTAAAGCTAATGGGTCCCCATGAATGGGGAAGAGCAGGGATGGATCTGGAGTGGCGCCTACCAAGATTTTGAAAAGAATGTTCTTTTTCTTAACCTAGATGTTGATTCACAGATGTTTGAATCTTCCAGATACTTCATTTAAAATGTAAAGAGAAAACAAATTGTTCAGGAACATCATAAAGAGTGGCCAGGGGCTGTACTCTTTCACAGCATTGTGAACAGGCCTGAAAACATGTCATAAATTGGAAGTGAACTACTTACTTGGGAGTGGAAATTACCCCTGGACCAGATCCTTAGCAAAGTGTCCCCACTGAGCCCTCCTTTGAGGCCAGAGAAGAGGTAGCTGATCCCAAGCTGCATGCTTCTGAAACTTCTAGGTCCTGAACAAACCCCCCACCCCCACCCCCATCTCTCCTCGACCTTCATGCACTTTTTGAGCAGGTAAGCAGACCACACTGCTCTCTCCAACACTCTGTAGAGTGATTTTATCTGCTGTGATTGGAATAACAGCCCAGTCTGTCAAAATCAAATTAATTTTGCTCTCTTCTGCAAAGAGCTTAGCATTCTCTCACCTCTGTCTTCCAAGTTTTGCAGTTTATGTTTGAAGCTAGTACTTTTTGTCGTCAACGATTCTTGGTCCACAGTCTCAAAAAAAAAAAAAAAAGAGAGGCCATAAATGTCTATTAAAATAAGAAACAAATGGTGCTACATCATCCCTTAAGAAGGAATAAGTACATTATACAAATCTAATATTCTTTCTGGAAAACCAGTTGAATAACACATAATACCTTAGTTGTATTTTCTTCAACTTCTGAATGCTCCAAGGAAGACAGATCGCTCAGTGGGTGGGGACTTGGGAGTTCTGAGTGGTGGAACAGTTTCAAAAGGATAAGCATGCTTAGAAGCAACTTCAGGAAATAATATCACTGTCTACATTAAATATGACCATCAAAAAAATGGTACTAAATGGAGAAAAAAAAACTTGCATCTTTCAGAGCATGTATGGTTATTAGGTTTGTAGATCTGTAGATAAAATCAAGAGCCTCAATTAAATCAGCCCCTTTCATAACTGCGCACCTGGCCCCAAATATACGGGCCAGGCTCCCATGACCTCAAGCTTGTGACCTTTCTCTTCTCAGAGTTCTACTTCCTTATTTCCTCTTTTCTCTCTAACAGTATATTTTCCTTTTTCTCTTTTCCTTACTCCTTTCCTCCCAGTGGCAGCCAAGCTAAGAGGCTGTCAGTCATGTGCTTAGTGTTTGCTATCATGTGCTTGACAGTGTGCTAAACTGCAGAATGGCACCTGGGTGGCTCAGTCAGTTAAGCATCTGACTTCAGCTCAGGTCATGATCTCATGATTCGTGGGTTTGAGCCCTGCATTGGGCTCTGTGCTGACAGCTAGGTCAGAGTGTGGAGCCTGCTTTGGATTCTGTATCTCCCTCTCTCTCTCTGACCCTCCCCTACTCACGCTGTCTCTCTCTCACAGAAATAAATAAAATATAAAAAAAATTAACTGCAGAATGATCAAGCGAAACAAACCAAAATCCCTAGCCATTCAAAAGATGCAAATAGTTTTTAATAAAATACAATGGAGGTTAAGGTACACCTAACAGGACAAAGGTTGGCAAACTGGCCCCTCACGTCAAATCCAGTCTACTAACCTGGTTTTAGAAATAAAGTTTTGTATGGGGTGCCTGGGTGGCTCAGTCGGTTGAATGTCCGACTTCGGCTCAGGTCATGATCTCACAGTTCGTGGGTTCGAGCCCGCGTCAGGCTCTGTGCTGACAGCTAGCTCGGAGCCTGTAACCTGTTTTGGATTCTGGGTCTCCCTCTCTCTCTCTGACCCTCCCCTGCTCACACTGCTTCTCACCCCCACCAGAAATAAATAAAACATTAAAATATAAAGTTTTTTGGAAACACAGCCACACCTGTTGGTTTACATCTTTTCTGTGGTTGATCTGGGGCTACCGCTACAGAGTTGAATAGTTGCAACAGAAACTTATAGAGGCTATAAGTCATCATCTGAGTTTTTGTCCTTCTTTGAAAATGGAAGAAATTAGCATAAGCTCATCTCAAATGTTAAAGTAAAATTAAAACACAGTATCCTCTATTTTTTGCTAATGAGGGAGTTAAAGAAAAGAATATTCACACTTTCAACAAGTATTAAGTTTTGTTTAGTCAAAGTATTTTTCCTAAAATACAAGTTTTTTTTTTTTCTATGTAAGTCAACAGAAAATCAGGTACCTGTTTTCTGGGCAGAAACTCCAGGAGTTAAAACGGCAGAACCACTCTGAAATTTTGTTCCAGAAATTTTTGGAGGTATGGAATTCTTTTGCCTGGAGGTATCTTTCCATAACGGTGTTAGAAGTTTAGCCTAAAATATAGTACCTTTTTAAGCGTGTTAACATTCATAATTCCTCAAAATAGTCTTTTAAAAATTCCAATATATTTCTAATTACCTTTAACATAGTTTAAGGGGGCACCTGGGTGGCTCAGTCAGTTGAATCTGACTCTTGATCTCAGCCAAGGTGATGGTTTCACAGTTTGTGTGTTCAAGCCCCTCATCGTGCTCTGTGCTGTCTGTACAGAGCTCGCTTGGGATTCTCTGTCCCCCATCTGTAACCCCTTTCACATTTGCTCACTTGATCTCTCTCAAAATAAACAAACTTTAAAAATTAAAAAAATAAAATAAAATGATTGAGGTATTGGATTTGCTCCATTTGAAAATAAACACTAAGACCGTAAAATCCCAGAATTGGAAGCACATTCTCCTGTATCAATTCATAATCCTAACTCAAAGATAATTCTAACTAAAAGTTCTCAAAGTAGGGAACACAGCATCGGCAACACCCTGAAACTTGACAGAAATGCAAATTCCAGACCCCCAACTATTATTGACTCAGAAACTGTGGGGCAGAACCTAGCAATCTGCATTTAAACAAGCCTTGCTGGTCATTCCGATGATCACTAGTTTGAGAATCACTGCTCTAAATCAGCAATCAGCAAACTACAGTTCACTGGCTTCTTATAAATAAAGTTTTATTGAAATGCAACACGCCCGTTCACTTTAGGTAATGTTCATGGCTGCTCTCATGCTACAGTCAAAGAGCCGAATAGTCACCACAGAAAATATTTACAGTCTTCTGTGTCTAGAATGTTTACAATATTTGCTATCTAACCCTTCACAGGAAAAGTTTGGTGACTCCTGCCCTAAATTATTCTTATACTCCAACACAGAGGAATGAATTTCGGATGCTATTATTTGTACAAAGTCAGCAACGCCCTCACTGAAAAATCAACAGACTTCCTGTCAGTTGCATAGCTTAAATTTATGGATTCTCAAAGCTTTGAGGTTTCTTTGGGGTTATTTCAAACAAAAGCTGTATTTACTTTAAATTTTTCTTTTGGCCTATTTCTAACTGATCATTCCTATTAGTCTGAACTATTCAAACAAATATTTAGATTCTCACTCTGGCTCGCAGGTTTCAACTATAAACTATCTCTGTCAGTGCAGAACAGGGCAGTCCCTTAGATTCACAGAGGGCAGCCGATGAAAGGGGACAGATGGGGGCAGATAACTAGCTGTGATGGGAGTACTAACCACACTGTATTTCTGCATGAGTGGGCAGGGTGCTGTTGATGCCCTGAGAATACCAGAAGCCACCCCCTTAGAGAACTCGCATACTTGGCACTATTTCTATAGCCTATATGGCTCAATTGATAAGGAATGAAAACATTGAGAGGAGTAATTTGGCTATTCTTAGGAAAAACTTGGCTTTGAATTTGCCTGGACAACACTAGTATCATATATATATAGTATATATCATATCATATATCATATATAGTGATATATATCACTGTGATATATCATATATAGTATCATATATATATGATACTAGTATATCATCTCACTAGTATATCATATCACTAGTATATCAATAAACTATTAATATTTATATATTAAGTTTATTGTCAAGTTGGTTTCCATATAACACCCAGTGCTCATCCCCGCAAGTGCCCTCCTCCATGCCCCCCCTTCCCCTCCCCCCACCCCATCTGCCCTCAGTTTGTTCTCGGCATTCAAGAGTCTCTCATGGTTTGCCTCCCTCCCTCTCCCCCACTATTTTTCCTCTTCTTCTCACCCATGGTCCTCCATTAAGTTCCTCCTAATCCTCCTATATGTTCAAACATAGGGTATTTTTTAATGTTTATTTATTCTTGAGAGAGAGACAGACAGCATGAATGGGGTAGGGGCAGAGAGAGAGGAAGACACAGAATCCGAAGCAGGCTCCAGGCTCTGCACTGTCAGCACAGAGCCTGATGTGGGGCTCTAGCTCAGCAACCTCAAGATTATGATCTGAGCTGAAGTCGGATGCTTAACAAGTTGAGCCACCCAGGCACCGCAGGGTCCAATATTTTTAAGTATGTTACTTTAAAACAAGAATAACCAAAGTGAATTCAGAAACTTAGAGGGTTTATTCAATATTTATGTAAGCCTGAAGTCACTTCAACCACTTATAAAGATTTAAGTATTTAAGTCCTCAAGAGCTTTACAACATGTCAGCAAACTGAAAAGGGAAAATTCAACCAAGAAGTTTATTTCAAAATGCAAATTCAAAGAGCATGTATTTACAGAAAATCAGAGTAGCCCAGATTTTAGCATCATTCATAATAAACGTCTTTCAACAAATTTGGCAACAATGTAGAAAAATCTTAACTCTTTACCCAAGATTCATACTAAAACATTTACAAGGGGCACCTGGGTGGCTCAGTCGGTTAAGCGTCCAACTTCGGCTCAGGTCATGATCTCGTGGTCAGTGGGTTTGAGCCCCACGTCGGGCTCTGCACTGACAGCTCAGAGCCTGGAGCCTGTTTCAGATTCTGTGTCTCCCTCTCTCTCTCTGACCCTCCCGCACTTATACTCTGTCTCTGTCTCAAAAACAAAATAAACATTAAAAAAAATTTTTTTAAAATAAAACATTTATAAGACCTTGCCATTTCTATTGACGGTGATTTATGTACCAACAAATTACTGGTTATTCTCATATTCCTGAAAGAAGACTTTCTGAGAAATAAATGACATTTAACCCTAAACAGATTGTCCTCTTTTATGCTAATGTCCTAAGGGCACATGGCAGCCTAGATAAAAGTTACTTACTTCATCCTTCTCATGGTCACTGCCACTGCTGGGAGGGGAAAATGGCAAAACTAAAAAAGAAGTGCACAATGGGGAAGTTTGCTTATGAGAAATACAAAAATGCATTTCTCCCTCTCCCCTATTAGCCATGTCCATACTAGAAGCAGTTCCCACATCTGGAAGCTTGCTCACATGTGTAGCTCTTCAGATCCCTTTCTAATGACCCCCCCTTATTCCTGAGTCCCCACCTCCCACATGAATTCTCTCTTCCACACCCTACCCCTGATGCTGTCCTCAAGTCAATTTGTCCTTGTAATTTTACCTAATTTAAAACATTTACTCATCTGCACACCTCTTTGAGTACTAGTCCTTCCCAAGGATTAGCTCAAATCCCACCTGCCTCTTCCTTGGAAAACCTCGTGATTCCAGCTCATGTCAGATTATCCTTATCTGAACCCCTACTCCCATTTATCTGCAGCTCATATTTACCAATTATCAGTCATTTCTACATTCTTTTGTATGGTTTTACATATGTACGTTTTTGCTTTTCCAATGTAATCGTAGCAGGGAAGGGAGATCACATCATTTTTTCTTTGGTACCCTCCCTCCTTGCATCACAAAGATACCTGATTTATTTGAAAAATGACTTGAAAGATGACATGTACCAAACTTACTTCTTACACTACTTCTAATTCTTGTCTTTTTTCTACCGGAATACGGTTTTAGGGATTTCCTTTTTTGGTTACTGGTCCAAGATCGTTCACTGGTACTAGTACTTGAATCTTGATTACTCTCTGAGAAGAGGTGTTTTCTGTAATTAAACTTTTACAAGCACAGATGAGAAATGAGCATGATGAAAAAGGTGTTAGTGTCCTTTATGTACAGTTTACCATATCGCTACAAGGTCAGACAAAAGAGGAGTAACTCCTTCTAGAAGACGGGGCTCTCCTAGAATAAAAAGGCCCCAAAGTAAGGAGAGGGGAGAAAAAGAACAGATTTCATTAGTCCATTCTCCTCCAAGCTGCTGTTGTGAAGGATGGGAGTCCTCTCTCATCTAATAGTTGCAGCTAACAGACCAGAGGAAACTGTTCAAAACCTGATATACCTATCATCCCAACACTTGAACTTCAAAATATTAATGCGAGTGACCAAAAGAATTTATAATAATACTTTTGGCAATGACAGGCACGTCTACATTTTAGAATAACTGAAGTTAAGCAAGGGAGTAACTTCTATTTCAACCTCAAAGTATTTTGAAAGACTAGGCTATCAAGGCAAATTTAATCTCTTCTGATGATTCATCTGTACTTTGACAATGTTTTTTTAAATCTTTTTGTTTTTGGATTTGCTTTTGTTAAACACTGACAAATAATGTTTATGCTCAGTTTTAATGTGGAATTTGCTCTGATTTTAAAAAAAATTACTCTAGGGGCACCTGGGTGGCTCAGTTGGGAAGGGTCTGGCTCTTCATTTAAGCTCAGATTATGATCTCACAGTTAGGGAGTTTGAGCCTTGTGACGGGCTCAGAGCTGACAGTACGGAGCCTGCTTGGGAGTCTCTCTCTGCCCCTCTCCCACTTCCGTTTGTTCATTCTCTTACTTGCACATGTGTGCACTCTCTCTCAAAATACACTTAATAAAAAGAATACTCTATTTGAACTCTGTTATGCTCGTCCAGGGAGCACAGTAAATAACCAGGAGGAATTCCATCATTCAGCTGGTGAAGGGCTCATTTTCATTTTAAGCCAGGGAGGTTTCTTATGAATCCAAACATACTAAGTGGCGACAGTGTCTCACATAGTCTTCTCAGATATGAAATGCATTGGCTGGAAAATACACCCTGTGCCTGGAATAGCAAACTACACAGTCCTTTCCTGATGCCATCATTACATCAGGATCAAAACCAGCTCCATCCTTGTGAATGACAGCATGCCCCATAGTCCTGAAGGTGGGTGATGGGGAGCTAGCTCTTTTTCAAGGGAGTTCGTTTTTGAAGACTCAATTACTCCTACTTTAAAACATTCTGCAGTTTAGGATCTTTTACAGAAGGTAACTTCTTAAAGAAAACTTGTGAGTGAGGCTTATTTGCATCTTACATTTACAGGGGGAAAAGTTGAGGGGAAACCTCCACACTTGTCCAGAGTCTCATAAAGAACAAACATTCCTGGGGCATCTGGGTGCCTCAGTCGGTTAAGCGTACGACTTGGGCTCAGGTCATCATCTCGTAGTTTGTGTATTGGAGCCCATGTCGGACTCTGTGCTGACAGCTCAGAGCCTAGAGCCTGCTTAGATCCTGTGTCTCCCTCTCTCTCTCTGCTCCTCCCCTCTCATACTGCCTCAAAAACAGTAAAAAAAATTTTAGAAAGAGCAAACATTCCTTCATTTCATGCACACAATTAAAAAAAAAATGTAGAGGCACCTGGATGACTCAGTCAGTTAAGCATCTAACTTTGGCTCAGGCCATGATCTCACAGTTTGTGAGATCGAGTCCCACATGGAGCTCTGTGCTGACAGCTCAGAGCCTGGAGGCTGCTTTGAATTCTGTGTCTCCCTCTCTCTCTGTTCCTCCTCGACTTGTACTCTCTCTGTCCTGCTCTCAAAAATAAAGATTAAAAAAAATTAAAAAAACAAAGCAAAACAAAAAACACGCAGCAAATCTTGGCCAGTTTCTTTACATAAAACGCTATTGAAAGTTATTCACAACACAAAAATCTAGAGCAGTGGCTCTTAAATTTGGCTGCATGTTAGAATCAATGGGGATCAGGGGGAAGCTTTAAAAAAAATCCCAGGGTCTGATCATCACCCTAGATCAAATTAAGCCAGAGTCTTTGGGAGAAGGGACCCAGGCTTCAGTAGTTTCATCAGCTTCCATAGGGTTTCCAGTTCAAAGACTGAGCATCAGAGAGAGAGAGAGAGAGAGAGAGAGAGAGACAGAGACAGAGACAGAGACAGAGAGACAGAGAGAGAACCAATGCTAAAAGCGAGCCAGGTGGAGCCTTAACTTGCTTAAAGCCCATGATCTCAATTTTTAAAAATTCATTTAATTTTCATTATAGAGTTTTTAAAACTATGGACTTAGAGCACTGTGCGTCCTGAAGTGAGGGGCACACGAAAGGGGTGTAAGTTGGTGCACGTAGGAATGAAAAAAAGAAAAAAATATGGCATGAACTCACAGTAAATTATTTCTTTTCAGTTCATTAAAACTTCTGACTTGATTCAGGATAAATCACAAGTGCTGGAGGGTCTTTAACACTCTTCTAATCTTTTTTAATAAAGCAAGAACTGATTTTCATTTTAAAAGTGAAATGTTTTTTCAAAAGATTTTTTGTTTTATTTATTTTTGAGACAGAGAGAGACAAGGCAGGAGTGGGGGAGGAGCAGAGAGAGAGGGAGACACAGAATCTGAAACAGGCTCCAGGCTCCGAGCTGTTAGCACAGAATCCGATGCCGGGCTCGAACCCACAAACCATGTAATCATGACCTGAGCCAAAGTTGGACGCTTAACCGAGTCACCCAGGTGCCCCAAAAGTGAAATAATTTTTTAATAATAAGTTTAAGATAAATTTAGAGATAATAAAGATCAGGGAGGTGACAAATTTTGAAAATGACATGCAAATAACAGAAATTTTGAAAGTACTGCCTTAAAACAAGAAAAGTTACTCCATTACCGACATCCTGGTTTCTTGCTTTCTCTTGCCCTCGGAAGCAGAATCTGCCCTAAAACAAAATAGGTCAGCTGAATAGAACTGTACCAATACTACCTTCTCCCTCCTTCACTGCCCAGCCCTAACTCCCCCCCTCTTCTATGCCCTTTATCTGATTGTGAGCCTAGTGGTGGGAAGTACCCTCACCCCATCTTGCAGACTGACTTATAATCCATTTCTATAGGTTCTCTACTAGACAACAACTGGTTATTTTTTTGATGTTTTTTTTTGTCTGAGAGAGAGAGGGAGGGAGGGAGGGAAGGAGGGAGGGAGGGAGGGAGACAGCGTGAGCACAGGAGGGTCAGAGAGAAAGGGAGACACAGAATCCGAAACAGGCTCCAGGCTCTGAGCTGGCTATGAGCACAGAGCCTGACCTGGGGCTTGAACCCATGAACCGTGAGATCATGACCTGAGCCAAAGTCGGACGCTTAACTGACCGAGCCACCCAGGCGCCCCAACAACTGGTTATTTAAAGCAGAGCAACCTTTCTTAAGCCCTTCTCTGTAGGGCATACAAAGAACAGAAAGGTCAAGTCAAAATCAGCAAGGAAGAAGGGAGGTGTGGGAATGCTGCAGAGTGGCATTTCCTGCCTGGCTGCTCCTTAGAATCAAAAGGGGAACCTAACAAGAAAACTTTTCCCGATAATTAGTGATTATGGAGCAAAACTTCATTTCATGGCCATTTGTAGGTCTTTGGAGAAATGTCTGTTTAACTCCTTTGCCTGCTTTTTAAGTTGGGCTGACTTTTTGGCTATGGAGTTGTAGAAGTTCCTTAAATATTTTGGACATTAACTCCTTATTGGATATATAATATGCTGTTATTATTTAAAAAAAACACAAAACCTAACAAGTGTAGGTGAAAATGTGGAGAAATTGGAATACTCACACATTACATTGTTTGTAGGAGTGTAAAACGGTATAGCCACCATAGAAAATATAGAAATTCCTCAAAAAATTAAAAATAGAGCTCTAGTATGATCTAGCAATTGCTCTTTTGGGTATACACCCAAAAGAATTAAAATCAAGACCTTGAAGAGATATTGGCGATACCATAATCATTTAAGTATTAATAGCCAAATTATGGAGACAATCTAAGTGTCCATCAATGGAAAAATGGATAAAACATGATATGTATCCATTACTTACACACACACACACACACACACACACAGGAATACTATTCAGTTTTCGAAAACCCTGTAATATGTAACAACATGGATAAACTTGGAAGACGTTTTGATAAAATAAGCCAGTCACAAAAGGACAAATACAGCATGATTCTACTTACAGAATATCTAAAATGATACCTAAATATCTGATATTTTAGATATTTGACATCTAAAATAGTCAAACAATAGAAACATTATTCAAAGGAGCTGGAGAGAGAAATATGGAGTTATTTTTCAACAGGTATAAAGTTTTACAAGACACATGATGAGTAAGTTTTAGAGATCTGTTGTTTCACACTGTGCCTACAGTTAATACTGTGCTCTGCACTTAATGTGTCAAGATGGTAGAACTCCTGTTAAGTGTTGTTGTCATAATGAAAACCAAAATCAAAGACAAATGAAAAAGCAAATGCACCATATTTCTGGGCAACCACTGATCCACTTTCTGGCTCTACAAGTTACTTTGCATTTTCTAGTATTTTATATAAATTGAATTGTACAATGTATACTGCTTTTTGTCTGGCTTCTTTCATTTGGCATGATTATCTGGACATTCACTCAACTGTATGTATCAACTTTTTATTTCTTAGTAGTGTTCCATCATATGTACTGAAGTCTGTTTGTCCATCAATAGATGAATGCATATTCAGGTTGTTTCCAGTTCAGGATTAGTTACAGATAAAGTTGCTATAAACATTCATTTGTGTGGACATATGCTATCACTTCTCTTGGGTAGGCAGCTAGGATTGGAAGAGCTTGGCCATAAGATACGTACATATTTCACATTTAAAAGAACTACCAGCAGTGTGTAACATTCCAGTTATTCCCCATCCTCACCAACACTTGGTATAGTCTGTATTCCTCATGTTAGCCACTATACGGCATGTGTAAGAGTATCTCATTATAATTTTAATTTCTATTTCCCTAATAGCTAATTATGTTGAACAAGTA